AGGCTGGATTTAGGAATGCCTCGATCAACAACATTCTCGATCCTCATGAATGGCACCCCTTCGAGTTTCTTCTCGTCCTCCAGGGGTCTCCGACAGAGGGATCCGCTCTATCCTCTTCTGTTTGTGATTTGCACAGAGGGGTTTGCAGTTCTCGTGCGGAAAGCCATCGCAGATGGAAAATTATAAGGGGTTGATGTGGCCCCGAGGGCTGCTCGGATATTGCATATGTTCTTTGCAGATGACTCATCCTTCGAGGGTCCCTCAAGGAATGTGATAATTTGATCGAGGTTCAGAATGAATATGAGAGTGGTCAAAAGGTTAACTTGGCTAAATCGGCAGTATGCTTTAGTAAAAATATCACATTGCCAGACCAACATTTCCTGGCTCAGATCCTGGGTGTTGGGGCGGTAGGGGTCCAGGATAAATACATGGGTCTTCCTACTCTGATATTCCAATCTAAGATGGATACGTTTCGGTATCTGGAGGACAAGTTGTTGGAGTGCCTTCACGGATGGAAGCAGAAAATGTTATCTTGTGCGGCGAAAGAGACTTTTATTAAATTAGTCGCTTTAGCTCTGCCATTGCATGTTATGTCGTGTTTCAAGTTGTCCCTCTCTTTTTATCGTCTCTTCGACAAACATGTGGTCAGATTCTGGTGGGGTGTTGAAGAGGGAAGGTCTAAGATACGATGGATGTCCTGGAAAAATATGTGCAGGAGTAAGCACAATAGGGGAATGGGGTTTTTCCAATTCGAACATTTCAACCGAGCTCTCTTAGCCAAAATTAAATGGCGTATCCTTAATGATCCCCAATCCCTTTTACCCCAGGTTTATAACGTCAAATATTTCCTGACTGGGACGTTCCTCACAAATACTGCACGTTCTTGACCATCTTGGGGATGACAGAGTAACCTCTATGGTCGGCAGTTATTAGTCATGGGGTTACGTTGGCAGATTGGAAATGGTAAGGCGGCTCCTTTGTTAATTTCCAACTGGATCTCCCGCTTACACCCATTTACTCCAACCTACAATCCCCAGGTGTTACTTGCGGATGGGGAACTGCTGGTAGCAGAGGTTATTTGTCAGTGGGAGGGGCGCTAGTGTGGTCTAAAACTTAGCCAGTGGTTTGATCCGCCCACTTGTCGTGCCATCAAATCTATTCCTCTTTCTCGTCAAGATGTTGCGAATAGGTAAATCTGGCATGGCACAACTTACGTAATTTTCACTGTAAAGTCAGCTTATCATTTTGATGTCTCATTAGATAAGCAGGATGGTCGTTGTCAATCCACGGCTAGTTGGATGGATAGGGCCAGCTGGATCCGCTTATGAAAAGCTAATATTCCTCCCAAGCTTAAGGTGTTTATTTGACAAATCTTCAATCGTATCCTGACGACGACGAAATCCCTAATTGAAAAGGACATTCCGGTGCTTCCTAGGTTCCCGGTTTGTTGGGCGGAATCAGAGACAATGGAACATTTGTTTCTTGACTGCCTAGTGGCACGAGCCCTATGGGATTATTCGGGTCTGGAAGATCTTGTGCAAGGGTTGCCTCGTCACACGTTCCCACTCTTCCTAAAGAAGGTGATGTTACTCATACATCAATATCCCATTTTTATGGCGGTTGTTTCTGTCCTTTGGCGGATATGGCGATTGCGCAACTGGGTTGTCTTTGAGGAAAAACAGTTCGGGATCCCAACTCTTATGAGGCAATTCAACCAACAGTATCAGAAGTGAATTGACCTGCATGTCGATCGTGTTCTTCAGTCTTCCATCTCTTTCGTACATCCTTTGGGTGTTGTGCATCCGCATTCGGTTGTTTGTGTGTGGGATGGGGCCACGAAAAGTGGCTCTTGGCAGGCGAGATAATTATCAAGAGCCATGATGGGGAGGTCTTATTGGCTAATGGGTCCAGTTCCCAGAGATTGATGATCCTATGATTGTCGAGCTGCTCGTTCTTAGGGAAGCTAATCTTTGGTGTATGCTCCATGGATTTACGGAGACGAGGTTCGAGGGGGATGCCAAAGTGGTCATAGAAAAGATCAATCGAGCCGATACCTGCGATAATCGGTTGGGGGCCATTCTGGCAGAGGTTGTGCAAAATTTTGCGCACCACAATAGGTTTAGTGTTCGATTTGTAGGTCGGAGTAGCAATAGTGTAGTCCACTTGGTGGTTAGAAAGGCCCTCACTTTGTACCCGACTACGAGTCATTTCTTTGATTTCATGGTCTAGCTTAATTCCACGATGTAACTACCTCTCTTTCTGATCAATATATAAGATTATATTTTGTAAAAAAAAAAACTCAATTCCTTACAAAAAGGGGGAAATAAGTAAACCACTTAATATTGCTAGCATTGAGAATCAAAGTCAAGATTAGCTTCAAAAAACAATCTATTAGTTGAACCACATACCATTGCTCTTGTTGAGAGTTGAACTCAAGACCTCCCGCTTACTAAACGGGTGCTCTAACCAACTGAGCTACAAGAGCACTTCAACCACCTTCTTGCTATTTCTGAAACTTCTATCTACTTTACAACTTCTCATCACAAGATAATGAACCCTTTCATGTGCGAAGTAGATACCAAGTGGGCGGAGAAGGAAGAATAATTGAGTTTGCATTCTAGTTAATTGAGTATGCATGTGAATCACTTAACGTTACTCTCTTTGAGAATCAAACTCAAAATCTCCCTATATCCTTACAAACACACAAAAGTGAACAACTTTCTATTGCTCGTGCCGAGAATCGAACTCAAGATGCCATTCTAGTTAATTGAGTATGCATGTGAATCGATTAACGTTGCTCTTATTGAGAATCGAACTCAATACCTCCCTATATCCTTCCAAACACACAAAAAAACGAACTTTATAATGCTCGTACCGAGAATCGAATTCAAGATGCCATACAAAAATAAAAAAATATTTGTCGATCAAACATTCAAACTAACATATCATTGCTCTCGTTGAGAGTCGAACTCAAGACCTCCCGCTTACTAAACGGGTGCTCTAACCAACTGAGCTACGAGAGCACTTAGGTCACCTCTCTGCTATTTCTTAAATTTTACACTAAATAACAAGTTCTCATCACAAGACATAACGAACCCATTCAAGTGTGAAAGTAGATACCAAATACGTTGAGAAGAAAAAAGAAAAGAAAAGCCAAAATGGAAGCGAAACAAGTACACCGACCACAGAATACATGATGCAGGCTGTGCTGCACGAACATGTAATCGCAAGGAGGATGATGTATAGCTGATCTGTTTTTTGAGGGAGACACAACAAGAGATGGAGGCAAAAACTCCAGAAATTAAGAAAGTGGGAATGTTGGGTCTATTTTCAACAAGCCAGGAAGCCATGAAATGTGCATGCATGTACTGCCATGTTGCTCTTGGTAAACGGGCCTTTGTCATAACCCATTCTCATAAGCTACAGATTCTTGATTGGTAAGGTATCATCTTTTTTTTTTTGGGTAATGCCCCAAAGATCTCTCCTTGAATCTGCTTTCCATATTGAATGGAAGTGCATCAGTAGAAACAAAGATTTCTGCCTTCCTTGAATCTGCTTTCTCAGGTCAGGTTGCAGTTCCACCTCGTTTTGCTGGGACCAATATTAACAAGAAGGAAATTACGTGTTTACAGTACACTACTGGTTTTTGTAAGCGACATTGTTAGAAGGGAGAATGACCAATTCATCAAACCCTTGAGACGCTGTTGGTTTTGTCTATCACTCTTCGTATTCGATCTTTATAAGCGGCACTATTAGAAGGTAGAAATAACCAATTCATCAAACCCTTCTGATTGAATTTCATATATGAGGTAGAATTGAGTTATGGGCGATATAATATGACGTTGAGTAAGATTTGGTTTCAGATTAGGACGTATCAAACTTGTGTCTACAACAAGAACAACTGCGTAAACACATTCTCTCCTCTGTCAATGAAGTATTTTCGAAGCACGATCTGTCTCAATAAGCTTAACTTATCCCTTGCTTAAAGTTTAGGACTTCCTTATCCCCCACAACAGAGCACTGCACAATAGTTGCCTAGCAAGCATATAATCTCCAGAACGCCAAAGCCGATACTCTGATTCTCAATTCGCCAAAGTCCCGACGAAATTATCTGAGCTCAGAATCTAAATGAGACACCACATCAACCCCGACATAGGAGGTTTTCTGGGTAGGATCATTGTAATGCGTTCTTTTCATACAAGCCATCCTCATTGAAGAGCCAGTAGATGAACAGTTTCAGCAGATTTGCCAGCTTTGCCCAGTGAAAACCTCGCCATGCTTGCCTTGCCCTCTGTCAACTAAGCATCAACCGAAATCTGCCTCAACTTTAGTGGAATGCAACATGAATCACCCCCCTGCAGATACAATTTGCCTGTAATCAGACACTAATATTCTCTTCATTGCTATTGAAGAACACCTATCTACCATCTCATATATAAATTTTTTAACTACGCAAAATAGCTCGTAACTCTCAACTCAATTTCCTTTTTTTAAAACTGAACCAAACCCACCATTGCTTCACCTATGGTAAAACTTAGAAAAAGTTACTTGGGAAAAAGCTGAAACAAACCCTACGTTCCATTGTTATTGCAGCCAACTCAGAGTTCTGCACCTTCAATACCGCGACCTGTTCTAGAAAACACTACGACCTGAATCAGCAAATCTAGTTGCGCAGCTTTTTTCAGTCCAAGCAAGCAACACGAGAATCCACTGAAACAGTACCGATGATAAAAATCCCTGTAGTTGCAGTCTTACAGGCTCGTTACGTTCACTCAAATTGATAAGAGTAGATGACAACAATTAGAACCATCACTGAACATGAAAGGAGCGCAACTGTTCAAGGTGGGATATATCGAAAGCACAAACTGTCGCAAAAGAAAGCAGAATAGAAAACGAAAAAATTGTCAAGTATCATCTCCATACTAAATATCAATAATAGAAGAACAACAAATGTCAACGTCACCTGACAATTTCTTCTTTCAGGCTGATGATTGATTTACTTAGCGGTTCCTTCGAAGCGAATTGTAGTGCATTGTAAGCAACATATCAAGGTCTGAGAGAACCCAATCCTGCCCATTCAGAGCATACAATTTCTGATGCAAAGTATCCATGTACACACTTACATTGCCATAACCATACATCTGATGACCATCATGCATCTTATTAGGCTTCAGCACAAACTGCAACCCGTTTTCTTGAGCATGTGCCTCAACTACATCTTTCAAACTCATCTCAACTACACCACCCATTGCAGCTTGCTGCACAGGTGGTATTGCTGCTGCTCTCTGCTCTTGTCCCCTATGGTAACCGAGATTCGCCCTCAAACCGGGTTGGGCAATGGTCTGACCTTCTATAGCCTGATCGATCATCTGCAGTGCTATGGTGAACTGATACCGAATGTTCTCATGTGCCTGGAGCTCGGGAGGAAGAAGGTCCTTCCAACCCACGTACCATTTATGAACTTCCTGCATGTTTGGGTTGGTACACAACCAGTGATACAAAACCTGAAGCCACTTCACAAAGAAAAATCTCACCATCAAGTCAACCACGAGGTGAATGGGGAGAACAGAAGCCCATGACAAAACCCAATTGAACTGATTGAGATTTTGACTAGCAGGGTTTATCTGGAAATCTTCAAGGGCACCCTGCAACTTGGGCAAAATGGATGTTCTCATCAGATTTTCCCAACTGATGGGATCAAAAACTGTTTTCCATGGTGACAAGATAGCATATGCTGATGCATCAGATGGATGCCATTCAACAAGGGTATTACGCAGCTTTATTTGAATCGTCTCATATAATACTTCTAACTTTGGCCCCAATTGTGGCAGCCATGGATGCACCCAAACATGGATTGCAACTCTCTCAATACGAGGGTCCCAGGAGTTGACAGCAGTTGACAACTTTTGGAGGACTACGTTGTCCAATATGTTTTGAGTAACTGAAGCTGGCAACAGTTTCTCCCAAGACTCCAGAAATCTGAGCATTGGCTCTGGGTCCCTAGGCTCCCAAGTTGTTCCATTTACTTGAATAGCAGGCCAGACGACTTCTGAGACTAACTGTGTGTAAGGCGTGCCAACATCCCATATATGATGGCTTTCGTCACCTTGAAGTAGAGTTCTCCATGACTCGATTAGTTTAAACCCGTGCATTGGGTTTGTGAGAGGATCCCATCCTTGAAACACTCTAATGAACAGAGGCAAAGCAAATGAACATGCAATGCAAGATAAGTTGCCAAGGGTGTACTCATCTGGGAATTTCATCCGCAGCTCGCTAAAGCATTTACCGAGATCATCCAATGTTAAAGATCCCAAGGCCTTCTGCTCTTCAATATGGCTCATGACGCCCATGATTTCCTCCATGTTACCCAATTGCTTCTTCTGGCGTGCTTCATCTTTTGCCAACTTCTCCTTCTCTGCTTGTAAAGCAGTAGCTGTGTCCCTCTCTCTCCTCAAATCACTGTCGATTTTCTGAATATCTGCCTCTGCCATGTCTACAATCAACCTAATATTGTACTGAAGTTCTGGCATAGGAATATCATTGTCCCTCGCCTCATCCTCGGCATTCAGATTCTCTAAATTAGTCAAGACTCTAACTTGTGGGCCCCTCATATCAATCACCTTCTGAGTAATCTCGAATCCCTGTTCTTCCTTCTTCTCCAAGACCTCCTTCACTGTAACATACCTCTCAAATTTCTTTTTCTTTCCCTTCAGCCACAACTTCTCTTTCGATCTGCCAGCTGCTTGACTTTGGGTCTGAGTTATAGCCTTCTTCTCGTCCGCCTGAGGGACACTAGCCGATACCTCTTTGTAATCATTGTAACCCATACCCATTCCCTTGGGTCTCAGAATCGCCTCAATAGGAGCAGCAATACCTTGCTTGTTTTTCCCTAACCCGCCTCCCTTATACCCCATCTTCTCAAGCAGTTTCATACCAATCCCTTTCGTATGCTGCTCAAACTTGCCAATATCTCCAAAACCAGCCTCCTTCCTCTTCCCTCCACCTCTGCCTTCTCTCTCTTCCTTCTTCTTCAACCTCTCTCTCTCCTTCCTTTCCTTAACGCTCCTACCAAACTCCTCTGGAAAAAACTTAAGCACCTCATCATCCTCACTAGCATTACCACCCCCCTGTTCAGCTCCCTCAGCCCTTTCTACACCGTTACTATTACCATTGAAGCCCGAATTAAACCCTAGCCCTGAACCAGCGCCCAGACCTGCCCTACCGCCATCATTCTCCGCCTCCTCGAACATATCATCATCAGCATTCTTCTCTTCCTTAGAGTTCTTATCTACTTCTTTGTTAGGCATAACCGTACCTGTGGAGATGAAGTTTACAGGCTTGGTGAGATCGACGTCTTTGCCTTTCCTCCGCTTCCGCCGCCGGGAGGAGCCGCCCTCTCCGTCCGAGTCGGATGAGTTTGCCTGGAAAACGCCATAGAGAACGTCCTCTCTGGTCTGGACGTGCTTATCCCTGCGCTTCTTGTAGTAGAACTCGCCGCCGATCCACTCGCCGCCCTCGAAATCGTTCTCTGTTCCGAACTTCTCCATCTCCTGGTCCTCGTCCATCTTGAGCGCTCTAAACAAAAGGAATTTGCAGCGAGGAGCAGAAACCCTAGATCAGCTGCCGCCGGCAATTGAAACCGCGAGGAACAACGGCGGTCGGATTTAGAGTTTTGGGGCACGGGACGAAATTGGATTCGAATATTATCCCCCGTACCATGAAATGAACTCAGCAAATGCGTCAAGACTCGGGAGTCAGAAAGTTCCTGCTTCCTTCAATCGTTCTAACAAGTCGGGCTGGGCCCAAAACCCAAGGCCCTGATAGCCATCACTTTTCAACTGGATTTTCAGGCCAAAACTTTGAAGTTAAAATGTATCATAAGTGGATACCAACAACAAAGTCGATATGTCCGAGTGGTTAAGGAGACAGACTCGAAATCTGTTGGGCTTTGCCTGCGCAGGTTCGAATCCTGCTGTCGACGGCTTTTTTGTATCCCTCTCGCTTTTATTTTTTATTTTGTTTCCATCCCCTTCCGCCGAAAGGTCAAAGCGGTCTTTCAACACAATCTCAGTCTTGGATAAAACCAATTCCGATTTCTTTTCGATTTCCCAATTTCGACGGCCGGCTGCCCTCTCCTCCCAGCCCTCAAATCATCCATGGCGTCGGCTTCATCTCTTCGATCCACCTTCACTCCTCCGCCCTTCATCTCCTTCAACCCCCGGCCCCAATCCTTACCACAATCCATCGCCGCCTTCGCTCCAGTCCGCTGCGGCCCGCGCTCCAACCGCGGCCCGCTCATGAAAGGCAGAATCCTAAGCACCGAAGCAATCCACGCCGTCCAATCCCTCAAACGCGCTTACCGGACCTCCGAGCAGCCCAAACTCCCGAACCTCTCCCGCCTGTTAAAGCCCGACCTCGTCGCCGTCCTCCGGGAGCTGCTGCGGCAGGACCTCTGCCACATCGCCCTCAGCGTCTTCTCCACGTTGCGGCTGGAGTTCCCGGACCAGAAGGCGGATCTGAACCTCTACGGCGACGCTATCTTCGCGCTGCTGAGGAACGGGATGGTGGACGAGATCGACGGGCTCGTCGGGGAGCTGGAGGCGGCGGCGGCGGAAGGGAAGGTGGACTGGGAGGGCGATAAGGGGGCGGTGAGAGTGGTGAAGGGCGTGGTGGAGGCCGGGAGGAAGGAGTCGACGGTCAAGATTGTGGGGATGCTGAGGCGGAGCGGGTGTGGGGACACGTGGACGGCAGATGAGTACGCCGTAAATTTTCTTTGTAAAGGGCTTAGAAATGGTGGGGAAGAGGGATTGGCTGCGGAGGTAGAGAAGGAATTTGGGAGGATAATTTGTGGGAGTGTAATGCCGTGAAATTAGGCTTGTAAGTTGTGTAATGGGTTAAAGTTTATAAGTTTTTTTTTGTAATTTGTAATGAATCAATGATGTTAGAAATTTTATTTGGTGTTTGCTTTCCCTAATACATGATGAGACTGTGGGTTGAAGTCGTATGTGTTTTTATCAATTGCATAAATATCAACATGGGAACAATGGCTCTGGTGGGTGTGGTGATCAAACACGAAAGCAATAGGTAAATTTGCAAGTAATTTGGGAAGAGGAAGCTCAGTCTAACCTGCTGAGTCCTCTGTTCCTTTTATAGCTAGGAAACCAAATTAGCAGTAGCTTTACAAGTGTCCGAACTCTATTGGTCTATTAAGAAGCTGACAGTGCTTCTCTAACGGCTAACAACAATAGTGCTTCTCTAACGGCTAACAACAATAAACAAAACGGTAACGTTTTCAATATGACTAAAGACTGTAAGTAGAGATAAGACGCTGTTTTCTTCTACTCTTCTTCTTCCTACTGCAATCCGCAAGTCTTCAGGATTCTTCCTTCTTCTGCAAATCACTGCTGCTCTTCTGTCTCAGTACCTTGACATCCCCCCTCAAGTTGGCGATTCAATTCCATCCTTAATCCCCAACTTGACCAGTAACTCAGCAATTCTAAACCTGTCTAAACCCTTAGTGAACAAATCTGCCAGTTGATTTGCAGTTCCAACATGTTGAAGCTTGATCAGTCCACTCTTAAATTCTTTCTCTTGTAACATGCATATCTATCTCTATATGCTTAGTCCTTTCATGGAAGACAGGGTTTTCTGCAATACGTATTGCTGATCTGTTGTCACAATAAATTGGTATAGGAAGGGGTACCTGTACAGTTACCTCAGCAAGCAATCTTCTTAGCCATTGTACTTCACAGACCAAGTGTGCTAGAGCTCTGTACTCTGCTTCTGAAGAGGATCTGGACACTGTTGTCTGCTTCTTTGTTTTCCAAGTGAGAAGTGATTATCCAAGGAATGCACAATATCATGTCACAGATCTTCTAGTATCAGGACAACTTGCCCAATCAGAATCACTATAGCCAATCAACTTCAACTCTGCTGTGCTGCTAAAGTGTATTCCTTGCCCTGGTGAGGTTTTCAAATACCTCAGAACCCTGTATGCTGCCTGCATATGTTCTTGACAAGGGTTCTTCTTATACTGGCATAGCTGCTGTACTGGGAATGCCACATCTGGCCTTGTGATTGTTAGATAATGTAATCTCCCAATTAACCTCAGGTATCCTTCTCCATCTTCTAACAAAGTTCCTTTTGCAGTCAATTTCACCTTACAGTCCATAGGTGACATGCATCCTTTGGCTTCAAGGTAACCTGTGTCCTTCAACAAATCAGTACAATATTTTCTCTGGCATACACTTATGCCTGCTTCATTTCTGGTGATTTCCAGCCCCAAAAAGTACTTCAATGGACCAAGCATCTTCCACTTGAATTCTTTGCTCAGAGCTATTTTGACTTGATTTATGTCTTTCTGAGCATCACCACCAATGATGATGTCATCTACATACACCAGAAGTACCACAACCTTGCCATGGACCCATTTTGTAAAGAGTGAGTAGTCTGAAGCAGATTGAGCAAAGCCAAGTTTCATCAGGTAACCTGTTAGCTTTGCAAACCACTGCATGGATGCTTGCTTAAGTCCATAAAGAGACTTTTTCAGTTTACAAACCATAGTTTGACCATTAGACTCTGGCACTTTCACCCTCAATGGTATCTTCATATACACCTCTTCCTCCAGGTCGCCATGTAAAAAGGCATTTGATACATCCAGTTTTTCACACTAGCAATTGCCAGAAGTGCTTTGACTGAATTGATTTTGGCCACTGGAGAGTATGTGTCCAGAAAACCAATCCCACTCTTGTGTGAACCCTTTTGCCACTAATCTGGCCTTTTCCCTTTCTAGGGAACCATCTTGCTTCAGTTTGAGCTTGAATACCCACTTGTTGCCTATTGGCTACTTTCCCTTTGGGAGTGGAACTATGTCCCATGTCTGATTCTCTTCAAGTGAGTATATCTCATTGTTGATAGCCCTGTTCCATTCATCACTCTTGATAGCTTCATAATAAGAGGCTGGTTCAAACATAGTCATTACATTCATTGCATAGGTTCTGTCTGATGGAGCCAGATGATCCATATTGAAACAAACTGGATACTTAGAGCAAGAATTAGATTTCTTGAAATTACCAACCTACATTGTCTCATCAAGATAGTAGTCATTGTACTTTGTTGGAAGTTTCCCTTTCCTTTTGGTTGTTGCATCCTGAGCTGTAACCTCTGCATCAACATCAAGATCAACCTCTTGCTGAGGCATTAACTCATAATCATCAGACTCAAAGTACTCATATTGATGATGATGGATGGAACTGTTGTTGTTGTTACTTGTTTCACCTGTGTCAGGACTCAGTGCAGTAGGATGCCCCCCATCATCCTTGGATGAAATAGACTGAGGATGATCTGGTGTAACAGGTGGAATATGTTTACGCCTAGAAAGTGCCAGGCGGCTTAGATGAAGACCAATGAGGGATCCGTTGGCTTCTTGGTATGGGGGGCTTCCGTCTCCTGCAGAAAAGGTCCAGGGGCGTAGCCCGGGGACGCTCTCCGATGCTTAAATTAGTATTATGGGACCAACAAAATGGCTAAGATGAATTATAAGTAGAGGGAGAGTAATTAAGTAGAGAGAGTGATTAAGTAGAGAGAGAGAGAGCTAGAGAGAGAATAGGGAAATGTCTCAGAATGAATAAATGGCAGCCCCTCTTAAATGTGGCGGTTGTTCCTTATTTATAGCCTGTCCTCCTGACACCTTGTCAGATCCAATACCTCGTACTCGTTCCCCGAGGTACGCCCACGACGTTATTTAATGCATTGTCAGTATTCCGGTCCCACCAGTTGTGCCCTCCTAGGCTTTAACGCATTGTGATTGTCACGACTGGAGATTGGGCCAGCCCTGCTCACGCTTGGGCTTTCTTTCGGCCTTTCCCCTTTTGGGCCACTTCCTATATCCACGGGCCTTGATTTAGATGGTGGTCCATTCCAGCCCAACATTTGTCCCGCAGGCGGGTAAAGCCCCCGGGTTTGGGCGGCTGGTCTTCTACACTCAAGGCGGGATCACCCTCTAAATCAAGGAACCGCCTAGGGGAACCCTCCCCCCGGGCGTCAAATCTGGGGCAGAATGCCTCGGGTCGGTCCTATCCTTTTGCTGCCACGTGTCCGGCGACACGATTTTCCACGGACCCCGAAGTGATCGTTGATATGATTACGCCATATAGCCCTTCCTAGGGTTAGCGAACCGTCACCTCTGGAAACCGCGCCCTCGCATTTAAAAAGCCACCTAGAGAATCGATCGAAGGTATTTTCTCTCTTCTTCCTTATTTTGATGCTCTGATTCTCTCGTTTTTCAGTCGGATATTCTTCAAATCCTCTCCTTTCGACTGTCGCCATTGTTGCAGCGAGCCTTCTATTTCCTCCAATTACCCGTGTTTGTTTTCATCTTGGTGCTTCTGACAATGGCTGGAGGAGATGGATCATCGCTTCCGCTGCCGTCCGTCGGCTCTGGGTCTTCTCCGAGCCGGAGAAAGGGCGGCGCCGGCGTTGTCGCCGCAGTTTCTAGTCACGGCGGCACTGCCGCCGCCGCCGCATCAGCCACCCCTACTCCCCTGACGATCAATCTAGAGTCGTCGGACACGGTTACGGATCCCATAACCGCCGCCGCTCAAGGTATGCTCCACTTGAACGCTTTATCGCCCTTAAGTACGTTTGGTCTTGACTGGGATTTTAGTGAGGTAGATTTTGATTTTGGTGGCTCTTGGTCGGATGATGGTCGGTATTTGTTGGGTAGAGTTGAGGATGGGTCATATGAATTGACCGATGTTGCTTTGGGTGTGAGCATAGAAAATGTAGCACCTAGGGGAGACGCTTCCGCCATGGGGGATAACCTGGCAAGTTTTGATGACGTCTCCGTAGCGAGCGTGAGTTCTGATGAGGAGCTTAGTATTGATGAGCAAAATTCTCCCGAGCGGCCTGACTCGCCTTCCATTGACCTTTCGGAGGACTCTTCGGATCAGAGCTACCTGGCGGTGGCGGATAACACCTACCACATACGCTTGCACGAGCATATGTGGGGGAAGCGGGAAGTGCCCGCTCGTGCCTTCGAACAGGGGCCTGACAGGTACAGCAAGCTTACGCCCATAACGATCCTCACCCGCCTTAGAAACCACCAGCTCCCTACCGATTGGAAATACGCCGCCCCGTCTCCGACTTCCCGAGCTGGCACGTGTCCGAAAGGCTGGATAACCATATACACCGAGCAGCTTAAGTTGGGTTTGCGTTTCCCCCTTGATCCCCTTATCACCCAAACGCTTCTGTGTTTGAATTGCACGCTTGGCCGATTGTCGCCCACCATTATTTTTCACGCGTGTGCCTACAAGCTGGCGTGTCAGAGAGAGTTGGAGTTGAACCATCATTTGCCGCTTTCCGGTTTATATACGGCCTCCAGCGGGTTTCCAACGTATGGTTCTTTGGTAGGCGGGACAAAGCCTATGGTTTTGTAACCGGGACTCCCAAACTTGATAATGCCTGGTTTAAAGATTTTTTCTATGCCAAGCCTACTTCAAAATGGTATTCGGGTGACAAGGAGCCTCGGACGGGTTACGCCTACGGCCGGAAAGAAAACTGCGACGCGAAGCTCTGGACCCTGGATTCTCAAAAGGATCACGCCGCTCGACTTGCTGATTTCTCTCCCTTTAACTTGAAGCCTGGGGGAAATGATTCTGTGAGGTCAATTCTGATTGAGCTCTTTGGAGATGGTCAGTAGCACCATTGATACGCTTCCCATTTATAACTGAATGTTTGTATTCTATGTTTCTGACTCTCGCTTTTTGTAGCCATGCACTTCGGGAGCGTGGCGATGATGGCAAGGCCCCCCAGGCGGGGGAAGCTCACTGCTTCCAAGACGGGAACCACTTCCCAGGGTCCCTCGAAA